GGTACAGAAGTAAATAGATTCGCAGCTCCCGAAGGGAGATACGAGAAGGCACAGCCTGCCAGGAGGGGTGGGGGGAGAAGGGGAGCTGAGGGGGATCCCTGGAGAAGGGGCCTCTGGAAGAGGGGCCAGAGGATTTGCTGATCCCTTGTTTATGGTGACTTAGTGCAGGGAGTCTGGCATCAGATGGCCCAGGTCCAAATCCTGACTTCTTCACTTAGGAGATATATGGCTTGGACTGGTTACTTCTGTGGGGCAGAGTGATCCCCTCTAAAACATAGGGCATTCATGTACAGACCTCATATGTTAACATGAGGGGCTATTTATAAAGCCTGTAAATGGTGCTTGGTACATGGTGAGAACTATGTAACTGTTTTAAACAAATCGAGTAAAATAAATAACATATATTTTGTCTGAAATAAGGACTAAGGAAAACTCTGAAAAATATAGAAACTAACTGGCAGGTATTTTACCATTTGTTTTTAAATGTATGGAAATTTTAGTTGATGGCTTATATAGGAATTTACTATCCGTAGGATCTGTCTCCAGCGCCCTGGCTAATTTTTGTTTCCTTTACTTTCGGTTATTTTGACATTTTCAGGGGAAAAAGAACTTTAACAATTAGAGAGGCCCCCAAATGAAATGAGCTCCATTTGTGGGCTGTAGTAAAGTCCTTCCTCATGACTAGAAATAGCCACATAGAGGTTGAACCTGCCTGAGATGCATTGGGTAGGAGCAGAGGGGGCCAAACAAGTAAATGCCTAAAAGCCAATTAATTGGGACTGGGGGGGGGGGGTCATACTTTAGTCTATAAACATTAGGAGCAGGGGGTCTGGAGGTGGGAAATGGCCATTTCAGTGCAGAGGACAGAGGAGGTTGAGAAGGACTCGAAGAAGTTGAAGGCGGAGAGCGAAGAGCTTTCATTGCTGGTCTAAATGTGGAGTCCATCCTGTAGAGAATGTGGAGGCATAGGGGAGTGGCCCAGATTAAAAGAAAGATCTCAGGGAGGGTAATCTGGTCACCAGTGCCAGATCGGAAACAGGAGGCCTGTTGGATGTAGGGCTGCCATGTAGATAGGCGGGGAGAGGAGGATGTGTGAGGGGCAGCCAAGAAGACGTTGAGCCTCAGGAACTGAGGCAGCTGGGTTAGAAAGAGCATTTCACATGCAATTCTAACTCATTTATTCGGCAAATGTTTATTTGAATTCAGACAGTGCAGAGCTCATAGCCTCGATGATGGATTTATCCTGCTGTTTTCATTAAGAGCAAAACCAGCGAACGTGCATTCTACATTCAGTTTCAGTCCCATTGTAGTGAGCCTTATTACTGGACAATAGATGCCTTTTGCAAGCGCCTTAGAGACAGTGCCTATTGCAAAAACAGTGCTGCTTTCTCTGCACCTCTGCCTAAAGTAGGTTCTTCACTTTAGTGAAAATATCTGATTAAAAGTGTTTGCATTGGCCGCAAATCTGAGCAGTGGCAGTGAAGACAGCTTTTATATTCTACCGTCAAGCCATATTGATTCATCATAGCCCTGAATGCCTGTGTGCCTTAAAACACTTGAATACCTCTCAGATAAACTCATCAAAGTGCCAGTAGTTCAAGATGCCTCTACCACTGTCCTCCTTTCTTGGTTCCAGAACCTTCCACTTTCTGTCTCACTTCTGGCTCCACAGTTTGAGACTGGGAATAATAGGGTTTGTTTTTTTAATTCAGAAAAACAGATGGCCGAGCCTTGGAGAGTTGAAGCATTTCTGCAGACTCCCAGTAGAGCACTTAGCACATAGTTAGTGCTCCAAAAATTAGAACAGATTTCTAATAGGCTGACTTTATTGTTGTTGAGGTACCCTGTGAAAATTTTTAAATCTTCATCCATCCTTTGAAAGGTAAACCAAAATGGAGTGGAAATTTTCCTTTTGGCCTGAAGTGACTCTTCAGCTCCTCCTCATCTCTCCAGAATTAAATGCCTACAAAACAGACAGGATTATAACTAATGCATTGTCATATAACAACAAATGATATAATCTATAATAATAAAAGTGTAATATGCTAATTAGATTAGACAGACAAATGGCCTTCTGGATGTCTTTCCAGCAAAGCCACTGCATTGGGGGCTGAGGCAGAGATGGTTAGGAGTGATCAGGCAATCAGGCTACTGGTTAGAGGTGATCAGGCAGGCAGGTGAGTGTTTAGGTGTGAGCAGTTAGGAGCCAGTGGTCCTGGATTGCAAGAGAGTGCAGGCTGGGCTGAGGGACCCTCACCCTCCATGCATGAATTTTGTGCACTGGGCCTCTAGTACATATATAATTGTATGTGAATAATTATATATGGATGTGTCTCTATAAACATATGAAAAGGTGTGGAAAGGTATACACCATTGGGTAGAGGTAAGGATGGAGGGAAAAGAAGAAAGACAAAAACATTCATTCATGCCCTTCGAAAGAGCAGTGGTAGGGACGAAGGGATGAATAGTGTAACCCAGTATGAGTTGTGGGTATAGATTATTGAAGATATGTTTGATCAGGAAGGAAGAGGAAGATGGAAATTTAGCTTGAGGGGTAGACGGGGCAATACAAAAGGTTTGGGGTCTTTTTGTTATATAGGATAGGAGAAATTTTAGTCCTTTGGTATGCAAGGAAAGGAAGAGAATACAGAAAGGAAATTGTGGTACTTGGAAGAATGAAGTAGTGGTGAAGGTGGTAAGGAATGGAATCGAGGCCAAGAGATCCTTCTTTCTCTGAGGTTGCAGACAGTGAGTGAAGATGGCAGGAAGAAGGCTTTGTAAGAACTCCTAGCCGGTGGCCAGGTACAGAGCAAGGGATACAAATAGTGGTGTTGGGAATGGAAAAAAAAAAGGGAAATATTGGAAAGAACTACGCTGGAATTGATTTAGGAACAAAACAAAACAAAAAGGTAAAAGGAAGACATTAAAAAAAAAAATGAAGCAAAACATTAGGAATTTGTTTGGGGGACAGGGAGACATAAGGCATAAATTCAGAGCCCATGTGTTCAAGAGTTATAAATTTTCAGTGAAGCGAGTTGGCGTTTCCTGAGTGCCCAGCAGCCCAGAGGAGAAGGAACCCAGTGGGTTAGGTTAGAACTCGAGGCTTTTCGACATTAGTAACACTTAGAGGGCTGGCCAGGAGCCCCATGCTGCCCAGGAAAGCCCAAAGGGAGCTGACAGCAAGATAGAGTATAAGGAACTGGATGTCATAGTAAGAGTTAAAAAATAAATAAGGGGGGGCAGGTGCTCCAGAAATAAGGGAAGGAGGTGGTGAAAGGACAAATTGGAGTCTTGGGGGTGGTTGATGTCAGAGTTCCTTGCAGAAGCGTTTGAAGTCCTAAGGGCAGAGGTAAAGCTGAGGCGATGGGTGTTTGTGGTGCGAGCTTGTGTCTGTAGACTTGCAGTGCATCTTTGTCTCCAGTGTTCAGCGCAGTGCCTGGCAGATAATGGACCGCACAAATATTTGAATGAGTGGGATGGAAGTAAAGGTCTGGACATTGAGGGATTGAAGCCTGTGGAAGGTCAGCAGGCTAGACAGGTCATCAATTTCATTGATTAAAGTCACTGGAGAAAGCCGTGATGCTCTGGTTGGAGTGCTTCAAATTCTCCCCCAGCCTGAGTTGAAGGCCCTCAATTTTAGCTCATCAGCCCCTGTGAATCCCTTGAAATGGGATCCTCTAACTCCTCATTTACTTGTACCACCCACAGAGTTACACACGTTATCAGAGGCTGCTAATTGCCACTACGTTAACTTTAAATAAAACTGTGCTCCTCTGATAATTTTGAACTCTGCCGAGTATTCTTCTCCATGACTCCTAACCTGTCAAAGTTATCTATTTCTTAGTATTTTTACCCGAGTCAGAAACAAATGCTTCTTATACTACTATTGGCATATTGGCAGGTTTCAAAAACCTGCCAGACTTGTCGGCACATAGTGTGGCCTGTGGCGCCTTTCTCCAAATCTGCGTTCCTCTCCCCCAACCCCACACACACCACCCCTTTATTTCCAAGCATTTTGCAGCATCTGTCTAGGATAGGACTGCTACCTAAAAAGCTTTGGATAAAATACGGCTGCAAGTAACACTAAGTATAAAGGCTTTTGTCCTGGAACTGAAACTTGTGAGGTCAGCAAGACATTTCGAAGCTGGGCCCGTTCTAGATGTCATTTGGGGTAAAGAAACCATATTTACCCAAAGAGAACGCTATCTATAGATTTTTGGTTTTTGTCCAAAAGAGGCCATTATCATCTTTTGATGGCTTATCGTTTACATAGCATTGAATATTCCCCTTTTTATCCTTTTACTCTTCTTATCAAAAGAGTAAAGGCTCTAGAAATGTGGACTGAACTTGCCTGAGGTTGCTTAGATTCAGGAAGGTTTTATGAGCCTTAATTAAAAATACTGGAGAAAAAAATGTCTCTGTTTGACCTGAAGTAATAGGATTTCTGTGTTTCCCCATCTATTTTCTAAGCTAATATATGTTTTGTTGTTGCTAACATTAATTTAACTGTTGTACATAGACACACGAGGCCAGTCGAGTTATCTTAACATTTAGAAAGGCAGTTGAATGTGAAATTTGTTTTCTAGAAGATAAATCTCCCTAAATTGAATTGTTTGGCAGGATGGCCAAAGCTGACTTCTTCCAATGCTGGGAACGGAAAACAAATGTGTGTTTCTGTGCACCTTGGGAAGGCCACCTTTTAGGGATGAAGAACTGAGGCTGAGGGAGGATGAACAGTATGTCCAAGGTCCCTTAGCTAGAGAACTGTGAAATAAGAATTCAAAGTCAAGTCTCCTTTCAGACACCTCTGCTTCCCACTGCTCCACGCTGGCTACCGCCACACAGGCCGAACGGTGCTCCGCCGTCAGCGACCCTGCTGGTTTCCACTGCTGCTCCACATCTGGAGGAAAGAACCACTGCCCGTGTGTGTTTCCCAGGGAAAAGCAGGCAGGTGATGGCGAGGTAGTGCTAACTCTAACCATGCTGCTCTTGTATTCCAGATTTTCTACCCTAGCAAGGACGGCACCAAGATTCCAATGTTCATCGTGCATAAAAAAGGCATAAAATTGGACGGCTCTCATCCTGCCTTCTTATATGGCTACGGCGGCTTCAACATCTCCATCACCCCCAACTACAGGTAAGCATGGGCCATGATCCCTTCCATCCAATGGAAGGAAACCAGAGCCTCGTCTGTTAAATCATGCTTTTTTTTTCTCATCTAGTGAACCATATATATTTTTTGGCTTGTCATTTTCATGGAGGGATAGGATTACGTTCACTACATGCGTTTTTGGCCAGGAATTCCAGCATCATTACAAGCTGATCTTGTGTCTTTAGTGGAACAGGTCGTTTGGGAACTAAATGCTCGAGCTATAGCTGCCAGGGTACGGAAGGTTAGTGTCCATTGAGTTTTGAACAAAGGAAGTGCTTTTGGCGTGTGCTCTCCGTATTCTCTTCATAGGAATGATTTTGCAGCTTCTGATGATATTTTTTCAGCAGCACAAGTCTTAAAATAGACTATCTTAACATTCAGCCATAAATATATTTTTTGTGTACTCTATTATTTCATCCATTTTAAACTGTCCTACACAGTCTCTGTGATTATGTCCCAGTAATTACGTTCAGGGGTGAAAAAAATCTAAATTTAAGCATTTCCTATTGTTTATATAATTGTCTCCTGATTTTACTACCCCATTCATAGTATAAAATGGAATTTGCTGTGAGCATCTATGTATATAAAAGCCTAAGCTACCAAAGGGCTGAAACGAATGAACGAGTAGTCAGTGCGCTCCCACAGTCGCTCAGCTGACCAACCCGTCCTGGCAGCCCACCAGCCCGGCAGTGGCCACTCATTCCCTCAGTAGTCCTGCAGGTCCAATCTCCAGAAAACAGCATCAATAGACTGGTGCTGCCAGCATGATCCTGACAGCACTGCCAGCCTCCTGGAAGTCGGCTTTGGGCACTGTGGCCGCTACCCCTCCCTAGACACTCCGCAAGGAAGAAACAGTATAAAAGCGGCCACCATATGGCTCCCAACAACCAGTGCAAACGTCAGTGGGACAGATCCGAGCCAGCAGGGCCATTCTACTGCCTGCCCAAAGGGCTGAGCGTCTCTCAGCCCCCCACCCCTGCTCCCCTTGGGACGGACACCAGACACAGGTGATCTCCCGATCAGGACTGACTGGGCACAAGCCCACAGCAGGGTCAGGATGAGCAGGCACTGCAGGAAGGAGCAGCAGGCAGTGTTAGACTGCCGGTTTTGGCCTAATCCCCGCAGGCCACCCTGAGGGACTCCCACCCGTGCACAAATTTGTGCATTGGACCTCTAGTTTTTTAATAAAAGCAAGGCGACTCCTACCAGCAAGATCAGTTTTAAGCCAACTTCTAAATAGTGCCACCATGAAATCCGATTCTCAGATTCATCTTCCTTATTTGGAAAGAAATGAGGGTGACTATTAGGATATAAATTCAGAGTAGATTCCCAAATTTAAATGTTACTTTATTCCAAGTCCTACATATCAGTAGCATTCTGCTAATTGTTCAGGATTTAATGAAGCTGTTTATAGCCAAATTGTGGACCGTCTTGACCATCTGGCTGAAGAGTTTGATTTTGTTAGTGAGGAGCTGAAAGGGTGTGAAATCATTGTGTAGAACAGTCTTTTCAGAAGACTTGTGAGGCATTGTTGTATGAGTTGCTCTTCATTCATTGCACAATGACATCACCATGCTACATTCTAGGTTGCTTTCTCTGTGACAGTGGTCAGCAAACTGCGGCTCGAGAGCCACATGCTGCTCTTTGGCCCTTTGAGTGTGGCTTTTCCACAAAATACCATGTGCGGGAACACATGTACAGTGCAATTGCCCATACGCAGAAGTTGGTTTTCGGCTCTCAAAAGAAATTTCAATCATTGTACTGTTGATATTTGGCTCTGTTGACTAATGAGTTTGCCGACCTCTGCTCTATACCAAGCACCGTGTTAGGCAAGGCCTAAGCCCACAGATGGACTTCCCATCTCTTATGAGAGTTTCCCAGGCAGTGAGATTCGCTATTTCATTGGTATTCATGTCTGTGGTAAAGCCAGAAGCATATTTATTCCATGCGACTATTAGTCTAAGGATGCAAAGCAAAAGCTGTTCACCCAATTCTTACAACAAAATGTACAGTATGTCATTATTTGTCCCTCTTCTCACCCAGAGTGATAACATGCAAGCTTCAGTTTCCACTTGCAGTGAGACCAGAGTGTAGGGCCAGGGAACGTGTGCTTCTTCTAATGGACGAGTCAGAGGCTCGTACCTTGAGCCCCATACCCTTGGTCTCCAAGGGTAGCGAGGATGCAGACAACACTGGTCCCTGAGCAGATCTGAAATTAACATCATTTGTCTCTGGTCATTTGGCAACAAGTATTTATGCAGCCTGCTGCGTTGGGAATGAGGAGATGAATAAAGAGGAGCCCCTAGCCGCTTTCAGCCCAGAACCCAGTAGATGTGCTGATGGTTTCAATGGAGACTATCAGAGGTGCATGAACAAAATCAAAGAAAAGACCAAGCAATTGAAGATCCATTTGGAGAGTCTAGCGTGATGGCATGCTCTCATTACTTACCCAGCTGGTTGGCAATCACTGCTCTAAACCATAATCAGAACTATTTGCTGGATCCCCGAGATCCAGGAGATTAGCTGCAGGTTGCAGAAGGCCATGGTTTCCCCAGTTACTGAAAGGAAGAAGGATAAACTTCTCAGAAATAGTTCTCAAGTAGTTAAAATATAATTTTAACTGCAGCTAGAAAAATAAATGTCACTCAGCATTTTTAGGACCAGAGTGGAAAGAGGAAGAGAAAAACATGGAATCCAAATTTTCCAAAGGACTTAATTCTTTTCCCTAGAAACTTGGTGCTATCATTTCTTTGTTTATTTCTAGAAAACATTCTCCTGCCATGAGCTCTCTATTCTTACATTCTGGTCAGTGTCCTTCACCTCCCCCACCACTCTTAATGTATGTTGTCTAGTTTAACATCTGAGCTTCTGTGAAACTATTTAAAATCCATGCTTCAGAAAGAGCTTCCTTTTTTCCAATTTGATCCCTGGAGAGACTGGAAGGAAAGAAAGGTAGCAGAGCAGGGCCGTTGTTGGTGTTCCTACGAGCCCAGGACCACTCACACCAGGCCTGTGTCACCTAGCTGGCAGTGTTGTGTTTGCCAAGATAGATGTTAAAAGATGTTCATTATGAAATGAGGGCCTCTGTTTTTCTCTGTCTGTATTATGCATTTTGTATTCCCAGCTTGTATGGTGAAATATTTACCCATATAGTTCAATGAGATCTTCTGAATGCTCATGAGCATATATGAGCTTTGCAGCTAAACAATCAGAAGTTATATGTTTTACTTGAATCAGGTAATATAAAAATATTGGGCTCCTATTTAGAGGACGTTACACATGGAATGTTTTGGGGGATACATTTTTTTTTTTTTAATGGATATAATGTGGTCCTTACTGGGCAGTTAATGGCAGTTTAACTGTTTTGTTGTTTCTCAGTGTGTCCAGGCTTATCTTTGTGAGACACATGGGTGGCGTCCTCGCAGTGGCCAACATCCGGGGAGGCGGTGAATACGGAGAGACGTGGCATAAAGGTGAGGTCTTTTCTCCTCAGAAATGCAAATACGCCGTAGTCAGAGCTGTATTTGAGCTGAGGGGTCAGGACCAGAAAGAACATTTCACTAAACAAATGAAAACGAAGGCTATTTTCAAATACATGGCAGGTACCACTCCCCCTTTAAAAATAACTTCATGTTGTTGTTCTTTTTTTACCTTTAAAAAAAAAAAGTTATTTTTAACCTTTTTAATTGGTTAATAAAATTACATAGGTCTCAGGGGTACAATTCTACAATATATTATCTCTCTGTTGTATTGTGTCCACCACCCCAAGTCAAGTCTTCTTCCATCACCACATGTCCCCCTATACCTTCCTCTCCCTCCCCCACAACTTCACCTTCACACGTTTTCTTTCCTTTTGTATTCTGTTGACCTGTTTTTCAGAAACTCACTCTAGACCAGCGGTCGCCAACCTTTCGGACCTCACGGACCACTGGTTGGCAATCACTGCTCTAAACCATAATCAGAACTATTTGCTTTGTTGGCGGTGCAGCCGGTAGATTTTTATATTATCGCTATCAGAGTAAGTCGGGGAGGGGTATAAGGGGGCATTTTTGGCATTTGTTTTGTCTCCTGTTTGGCCTGGCTTTTACTGTTTATTTGGTTCTTTCAAACAGACTTTAAAGCGAGTCATTTTTAAAAAAAAGAAAAGAACAACTAAACTAGAGCTTTCCTATTCTTAATATGGGCATCCTCTGCTTGTATTCTCGTTTCCCCAAAGTTACTGAGAAATCTCGCCATCCCAGCATTACTGCTGTGACTTTGGCACCTGCAGCCACTAGCAAAGAGCTAAGTCATTGTTCTTGTCTTGTTTAAATGATTCCATCTCCATTCTCTGGCCTCCTGAGCATGTGTTCTATTTGACTGAAGATATTGCTTCTATCCTCAGCTTCATTCCGGGATTGTCACAACTTGCTCAAAGAATAGTAATTCTTACTTTGAAAGCCCTATCTCTTCCTTTTTTATATACACGGGACACATCCCATCTCCAGAGCTTTTGTGTATCTGGAATTCATAAACTAACCAATAGCCTGAAAAAGATGCTTCTCCCTTGTCTTATTCCTGTGTCCCATGGAGGAGGTATGGCACCTCATCCCACGTCTGCTCCCTCCTCATCAGCCAGCGTTTATAGAAGGCCTGCTGGGGCAAATGGAGCCAGCAGCACCAGGTGAGAGGGTGCTTCTCCCACAGGAGGAACCTCAGAGACCACCCTTCATCCACCTGTTCTTCTCTACCATCTCCAACCTGAGCCAGTGGCCCTGGTTTTCTGCATAAAATCAGCAGAGATGGTGGTAGACCTGTAAAGAGATGTTTCATAAGAGTCTGTTAGGTGTCAAGATAATAGGAGAGGCCCAGGCCTGACTCCTGGGCATCCACATGCATCCCAAGGGCTGACCACAAACTCTCTAAGCCTCTTAGCAAGAGTTCCTAATTGATCCATGAGCTCCAGGCCTGCCTGTCATCTCAGGTCAGCTTCTGCCATGACATCCCCAAAGACTTACCAGTTGCCATTGTATTTGAAACAGCATAAAATTCATTACGTAATTCTAACTTTGACCTGATATTAGAATTTAGTTACTACACTAAAATCATACTGTGAAATTGTGATAATTGAGATGACTGATTAAAAAATATTCAGGAAGAAAATCTCCCTATACCACAGGTTTTATTTAGATTCCAAATCCACATACTCCTTCTGGACCCCTAATCTTGCCTGATCTCCTAGTTTAAAGGTTTGTGGTGTACCCAAAAATACACACACCTGCAAAAACTCCTGTGGTATCTGCAAAGAGCCCATACTCTCCTCTATAAGACCCCTCTGGCCATCAGGTACCCACCGTGCTCTGATAGGGCCCTTGGTCCTGGTCAATACTTTCTGTCTCATCTATTAATTAGAACAAATTTATTACCCAAAGCCTTGGGAAGCTTGACTGTAGACCATGGTTAGACTGATTCATAACTTTTCTCCAAATTTAGGCAGTGAAAGGACCAGAAATGGATTTTTTCCCAGTTAGACTGGAATAGACTGATACAGCTAAATTCCCTTCTGTTAATGTAATGCTTCTTAAAAAATATAGCTTTATGCCCAAAATGATATTATTCCTGGAAACTTGAGTCATCCTAGCTGTTCTAATTCACTGATAATTTCTTATTAAAATCTTAATAACATTTGGTTTGATATGAAAAAGTTCCTTCGGTAACACTGCTTCATCTTTAATTGAATTTCTGCAGACGTGGTTAATCTCAGATATCTAATTAGATGACTGCCTTTCTTACCTCAGAGGCAGTTATCTTGGACATCTGTCCCTGTAGGGGCATGCTTGGTCGTTTGGCTTTTACTTTTAGATGTTCCAAGACAGATGTTCTCTCTCTAAGGAATTGCTTTGTGTGGTGTTATACGTTGGAATGACTTCTATAGATGAGAAAGCCCAGCCTCCCTGGGAAGATGTTTGGGGCCCTCTTCATTCAAGACGTGAGAAACCTCCTTACCGAATTCTTATTTACAACGAAATTGGAGGACCTGGTCCTCACTCACCCGTTTCAGGCTCCTGCAAAGCATTTAGGTCTTCCCTGGGAGAGGAGCCGCACAGGCCCATTGGGTGTGATGGGTGGAGCTCAGAGAGGACTGAACCCTGCTCTGATCTTGTTCATTTTAAATCCCACTTTTCCAAAGTATAGGTTCTTTTGTTCTCATGGTTCACTAATACAACAGACCATCTCTTCCCTTTGGGGCACATGCCTTTTAAATTCTAGGAGTTCTTAAGGAATATAAATCCACCAGATGGATTAGCAGTTGTGGAATTGATGGATGTTCGGTTCAGGCATTTTTGTAAAGGTAGTACTAGTCCATTATGTTTAAATAGAGCAGTAGTTGAAACTATGCCCTGTCATCATTTGAATTCCCTTAGGGTTAACCTGCCATGCTTTCTCATGTTTTGTGCTCTTAATTAACTCTTTGCACTTTGGCTCATTGTAGGTGGTATCTTGGCCAACAAACAAAACTGCTTCGATGACTTTCAGTGTGCTGCTGAGTATCTTATAAAGGAAGGTTACACGTCTCCCAAGAGGCTGACAATTAATGGAGGTTCAAATGGAGGCCTCCTAGTGGGTAAGGATTACATTTTCTTCATTGTACTAGTACTTCCTGCGTACCACTCTTGGGATTTTCGTGTGCACTGTTGAGAGTTCTTGATTTACTTTGGCTCATGGATGGCAGCAGTGGTACAAAGAAAACGAAACCCATTTGTATTTGGGCCTAAAGACCCAGCTGATCCTACATTCCTTAAACTTGATGTAGGACAGCCTAAAAACTGTCCAGCCTCCCTGCTCTGAGCTCTTCTGGGCTAGACTGCAATTCTCTCTCCAGCCAGGTTGGACCCCTCTCCCCACACACTGGAACCACAGGTTTCTAGAGTCCAAGCACAACAGTCCTGAGCCTGATAACCACTCTGATTGTGAGAGTCGGGACCTGTAAGATGTGATTATCACTAAACATTTGTTGAATAACTACACCCGGTGATGCTAAGTGCTGTGGGTACAGAGAGAAAAGTCGTGAAGTAAATGAGATACGTATAAAGATGTATCTGCAGCATAAGGGTAATGAAATAGTCACAGAAGTTGTTCCCAAAGGATTGAGTACCTCATGTGCCAGGCCCAGGCTGAGACCCTGATGTACACGCAGCCTGGGCGATAGGGGCTGGAAATGCCCCATCTTTCGTAGGACACACCGGGCACCGAGAGGTTGAGTGGCTTGCCCAGCGTCACGGTTGGGAGTGGTGAGGCTGGGGCTAGCACGGTGGTCTTAGATTCTGCTCTTTTAAATCGTTTTGTGGCACTGCTTCTAAGGACCTAATTTTTGGTAGTTAATGAAATTCGAGTTTGCATTTTCTCTCTCAGTAGCACTGAACGTTGTAATGAAAATCTGTAGCGGACCTGAACTTTGCTGGCTGGGTCTTACACCCAGTGTCATTAGCACATGAAGGGCCATTGCCCAAATGTAGAATAGCATACATAAGCTCAACGTAAAACACACATGATGATTCTTGGGGTTTTCCATCCACGGTTGTGGAGGAGGGCGACAAGTAGCAGCTCATACACCCAATTTTCTTGTTTTGAGAATGTGCTGAGTCATGTCAGCAACTGAGTTCCTGTCCTGACTCTTTAACTCTTTACCTCAATAGAATATAGTCTTGGGGGGAAAAATTTTTCCCCCTTTGGAGGTAAAATCTCTTATATCCAAAATGTTCCATTTCAAATTTAGAAAGTGTAATTGATAACAATCTTGGGAATAACACAACACCTCTGCCTTCCTAGAGCTTCCATTCTCGTCCTAGAAACAGACAGTACACCTGAGGCCCTAAGCCCAGCACGGGCTGGGAGGGGCCTCGCCGCCTGAAGGAGACCCCGGCCTGTGGCTGGCACAGGGAGCGAGGGGGAGTAAGCGTGGCAGGACCTCAGCGCCAGGCTAGAGGACCCGGTTTACTGTCACGTAAGCCTTTGGGAGAGTTTTGAGAGAAGTATCGTAATTTGACTTTTTTCATAGGATCATGCATTGTTCCTATTACAATGTTAGTGCAGGTGGAAGGAGAGTCAAGGCCAAAAAAGCAGGCCAGGTAGGAGACTTCTGTCCAGGAAGGATCCGTGTGGTCTGGCCCTGGGGCGCAGTGATGGAAGTCCTTCAGTCCGCAGGCCAGCGCTCTGTCCGCTAAGCCAAACCAGCCAGGGTGTGATGGAAGTCCTGAGAAGTGATCAGGTTCTGGGTATATTCTGAATTGGAGACAACCGAATTTGTATATGGATTACAGGTCAGGTGTAGAAGAGAGAAGAAATAAGGGCAAATTTAAGACTTAATGAGAGAAGCTGTTGAAAATACCATCTGCTTCCAATAGTGGGAGAATTGTTTTGTAATTTACTGGTTCGCCCCGTAACTCCTTTATATTTAAGGTATTAGTTTGTGTCTGTTGACACATCTGGACACATTTGGTTCCGTAAGGACCTTGCAGAGATGGAGTCCCCCGTTTGGATGCTAAGAGCTTATTTAAAGGAGCCTCTGAGGACTCGGTATTAGGAATAAGCCCTGAAATCAGAATTGGGGTGGGAAACGATGTTTTTGCCAGCTGTGATGCGACTTCTCCCTAACGGCCTTACATCTGTTAGGTAGCCCTACAACCCACTTGAATGTTTTGAACACTATCGTTGCTTCTTCGTTTTTTTTATCTTTCCCACCTACCCCCAGGCCTAGTGCCAGGCGTTCAGTAAATACAAAGGAGAGTATTTTTAAAAAGGACAGAGCCCTGAGTTGGGTGTTAGGCCCTATGCTGCCTTGGGCTGTACAAGCTCTTTCTACTCACACTTTTCCGCATCAACCAGGTATCCTCCAATTCGCTTCCATTCTGACACTGCTTAGCGTTAGCACGCACCCCACAGACTAAGGGCTCAGACCCACAAGACTCCTCCCAAGATGCCAGTCGCCAGTCCTGGGCCTCCCAGCACCCCCTTCTCAGGTTCAAACTCTTTTCTTACATTTACCATTGGTTCTAAAGGCTGGAACCCGGGAACAGTCAGATGGAAGAGCCATTGGAGTAAGGTATGAGGAGGCGTGGGTGTGGCATTTCCATGCCCTCCCTGGGCACGCCACCCTTCCAGCTCCTGAGTATGGTCACCGACCTGGACGCTGTCTGAACTCTGTTGTTTCAGGGGTCTTCTGGAGGTTCTAATAAATAGGCCCAAGTAATTAGATGATCAACCATCAGTGATTGAGTCAAGCTCTAGCCCCTCTCCCTCCTTAGAAGCCAGAAGTTTTGAGGGAGAGGTGACAGTTCCGGTCTTCCAAGCACATGATTGATTCCTCTGGCAGCTGGGAATGACAAAAGACACTCCTAGTTCTGTGCCAGGAACAAGGACTAAAATGTATGTTATTACACTAACGGCCTGGTGCACGGATTTGTGCTCTGGTGGGGTCCCTCAGCTTGGCCTGCAGACATCCCCCGAAGGGCCCCGGATTGTGAGAGGGCACAGGCCAGGCCAGGGGGAGGGACTATGGGAGGGCTCTAGGGAGTGTCCTGCCCTGTCTCGCCTAGTCCCAATCAGCCAGACCCCAGCAGCAAATAATCTACTGGTTGGAGCATCTGCCCCCCTGGTGGTCAGTGTGTCATAGCAACTGGTTGAATGAACAGTAGTACATTTAGTATATTAGGCTTTTATTATATAGGAGGATTGCAATATCACAGGCTTGCTTTGAGACCCCTCACCTGTGAAAGCAAGTAGGGAGGAGAGGACACAGGTTTTTCAAATAACCCTCCCTTCTTGAAATTCACCTTGGTGAGTAAATCTCTATTACTGATGAGACTGTCCCTCCTCGGATATCCTGGAAGGAAGGGGAAAGCTTGTGGGCCTTTAGGCAGGTGATTTATGATGGTTCCTTTCTGTGCTCTAAGAAAAAAGGCAGCCAAGGTTCTGGAAGCACCTACGTGTTCTTTTGCTCTGGTTTACTTATTAGCTGTTTAATTAACAGACTGCCTCCCTTTTCTCTGTCTCGGTTTTTAGCTGCTTGTGCAAATCAGCGGCCTGACCTCTTTGGTTGTGTTATCGCCCAAGTTGGAGTAATGGACATGCTGAAATTCCATAAGTACACCATCGGCCATGCCTGGACCACTGATTACGGGTGCTCGGACAGCAAACCCCACTTTGAATGGCTTATCAAGTAAGGTTTTAATTCATACTTCACGTATATGTTGCTAGCGATTTGATATCCTTTTGATTGACTGTTCAGACTTGTGTTTAATTCCTTACTCTCCTCCATGTCTCCTATTTGCATATAATTTACTGCAGAAGTAAGGGAAGTGATGGGAATACCTGTCTTCCTTATTTTGATCTTGTCTTTTAACAAGAACTACAGAAATGTGAAAGGCAGAATCTAAATGTACCCCCCCACACACACACACACACTCCAGTTTACTGTCTCCTTCTCTTACACTAATCCAGGCACTGCTGTGAAGGGACTTTGCAGGTTAAACTAAGGCTTCTAATCATCTACATTAAAATAAGATTATCCTGGATTGCCCACGTGGGCCCAGGCTGCAGTGACATAGCTCTTACAGGCAGAGCACTCTGGCTGGAGTCAGGGGTCACAGGGATCAGAGCTTGAGGGGGACTTGACCCTCCAGTGCTGGCTTTGAAGATGAAAGGAGAGGGGCCTCTAGAACCTCAGTCAAAAGCCTCAGGGAACTGGATTCCACCAGCAACCTACATGATCTGGAAATAGATTTTTTCCCAGAATTTCAGCCCAGCCAACTGACGACCTGATTTCAGTCTGGAGAGATCTAGAGCCGAGAACCCACTTGAGCCAACCCAGACTTCTGACGTACAGAACTGGGGGATTAAAAAATCAGGGTTGTTTTTAAAAGCTACTAAATTTGTGGTACATCCCTCAAAAACCACTTTTTTAAAAGGTGTCCTTATACCTCACATCAATGTATTATATATGGGATTTCCTTTTTTAAAATAAAGAGGCATATGCAAATACAGTTAACTTGTGCTGTCAGTATAACTGAGTATTTGAAACTACAGGCTGTGTATGGAAATACTGTGCAGCTTCCCTCTCTCATGTCCCTCCACCACTGAGGCCAGTGGTCGGCAAACTCATTAGTCAACCGAGCCAAATATCAGCAGTACAGCGATTGAAATTCCTTTTGGGAGCCAAATTTTTTAAACTTCTTCTAATACCACTTCTTCAAAATAGACTCGCCCAGGCCGTGGTATTTTGTGGAAGAGCCACACTCAAGGGGCCAAAGAGCTGCATGTGGCTTGTGAGCCGCAGTTTGCCAACCACGGACTTAGAAGACAATGGCAGATAGATTCTCAGAACTGACCGCTACATTTTTTTTTTTTTTTTTTTTTGCCTCTTCACTCTCTCTACTTCCCACTTGTAGGGGTTTGGCGATGATCAGTATTTAGGAATTGCCCTTGGAATAACAAGAAGCCTATGTCCCAGTCTTCTCAATCAATTATAAAGTTATCAAGTTTTTTCTTTCATTTTATAGGCTTTTTATGGCAAGGTCTCTCCAAATAGAAATTCAGCTAAAATGACTTGAATTATTAAATTCAGTTCTTTGGTGAGGAAACTGGAGGGACTTTACTTTGTAAAGCTATTATTAAGTGTGCAAATAGCCTCATTGGCACAAATTGGTAAAAGCTGAGTATTTGAAGAAGCCATAATTCAAATTAACTTAGAAAAAAATAAACATTTTAGGGGATAAGTCCCATTTTTAAAATCAACTGAATACTGAGTAAATTAGACAACAAATACAACAAAATATTTGATGGAACCTGATATTTCTAAAATTGATTTGAAAGCAGAAAAAAGAAAAAGTTCTAAATATTGTTTCTCCTAAGATGTCTGTGATATACGGGGTGGGCAAAAGTTTATAGCCATAATACAAAAATTAATAAATATTAATACAAGTGTAAACTGTTTTTGCACTACAACTATTAACCTACTTTTGGGTTGTGGGACAAAACAGTTTATTCTTGTATTATTAATTTTTGTATTCTGGCTATAAACCTACTTTTGCCCACACCTATATTCTAGTATTCTCTCTGGATTTGAATTTTCCACCCTAGCACTCATAGGCCTGCATTTATCTTTTTATCAGCTGCTTCCATTGAGCAGAGAGCTCAGCCCCACACACTAGAGCCAGAGGGGCCCTATAAGGACCTGCTCAAGCCTGCACCCCTGGCCTGGAGTGTGTCCCATAAGCACCATGGGGCCCCCCAAAAGAGAGCTAGATAAATAAAGCCTAACAGGTTTTTTTTTCTACAGAACTTTAACATATAAATGTAGCCTGTGAATCTTGAAGGGGGGTGGGAGGGGTTGTAATATTAATAGGCAGAGTTTCCCCATAGATCTATTATCTGGAGGTCTGAGGCTACTCCAGTAACCCTGAAAACAGTCCATTGCGCCCATCGCAACTACTGGGAGCAATGAAATGCAACTAGAGTAATTGATTATATTCATTAATGCTGAACCCTTTGAAAAACATGACACCCATCTATATAATAAAAGCCTAAGCAACCGTTGTGTGGAACAACTGGTCGCTATGATGCACACTGGTCACCAGGGGGCAGATGCTCAATGCAGGGGCTGCCCCCTGGTGGTCAGTGCGCTCCCACTGGGGGAGCTCCGCTCAGCCAGAAGCCGGGCTCATGGCTGGCAGGTGCAGCGGTGGTGGCGGGAGCCTGTCCTGCCTCTGGCAGAGTAAGGAGCAACTAGCAGGCGGGCAGGAAAGAGCGAAGGTTCCTGGTCTGTGAGAGTGCAGGCCCGGCTGAGCGCCCCTTCCCTTGCATGGATTTCATGCACCGGGCCTCTAGTATTGAATAAAATACACAGAAACACTATCCGGAGATTTCACTTAACTATTATCTACCACTGTGTAACTCAGCTGTGCTTTCCTTCTAAAACTCCCTTAGTTACCGTGACTGGCAACGTACCTTGTATAATACTTCAGAAGGTGCCTCCTCTGCTCTTCCATGGACGTTCTCGCCATTGGCCAGAGGCGGTTTCTCTGCTGGAGCCTGCAGCCTGGTGCACAGGCAGGAAAGTAGGCCTGGCGATCTTCCCCGGGCTGCCGTGCTGAGCCTGGAATAAAGGTTTTATAGACGTTCAAGGGTAGAAAGCGGATTTCAGGTTCATCAACAAAAGAAAAGCTTATGCCTGTTACAGCCACGGTCAGTGGTTTAAAAAGGCAGTCAGGCCCTGGCTGGGTGTCTCAGCAGGCGAGCACCATCCAGGACACCAAAGGTTGCAGGGTAACTCCCGGTCCGGGCGCAAACAGGTGGCAACCGGTCAATAGTTCTCTCTCTAAAAAAAAATCAAGGAAAACATATCCTCGGGAGGGGTTTAAATAAAAACAAAGACTATCCGTCCACTAAGTGAGAATCTGAAAATACTCCATTCCTGACCACCAGGGTGCACCCAGGTGTGGTTATTTCAGCAGCAGCCCTGGGAGTTGCGTTTCTTATTCAGTCCTCCAGAAGAGGAGCCCTTCCCGGTCTCCAGTGGCCCTGGCGTCGCCATAGCATGGCTGTGGGCCTGCGGCTGACGGCGTGAGGCCGGTGAACCACATCGGTCACCTGCCCAGCAGCCCGCCTTGATGGTCCCGGTGAACGAAGGGCTCCGCGTTTGGTGTCCGGCATCACGAACGTGCCTTTGCCTTCCAGGTACTCGCCGCTGCATAACGTGAAGCTGCCGGAGGCGGACGGGATCCAGTACCCGTCCACGCTCCTCCTCACCGCCGACCACGATGACCGCGTGGTCCCGCTGCACTCCCTCAAGTTCATCGCCACCCTCCAGCACGTCGTGGGCCGCAGCCGCAAGCAGAGCAACCCCCTGCTCATCCACGTGGACACGAAGGCCGGCCACGGGGCCGGGAAGCCCACGGCCAAAGTGATAGAGGAGGTCTCAGACATGTTTGCCTTCATCGCGCGGTGCCTGAGCATCGACTGGATCCCGTAACGGAGCCGCCCGCCCGCCCCCGCCCGACAGCCACACGGAACCTCAAGGGCTTTCCCGCCGTCAAACCCGAGAAACCACTGGGCGTGCCGCTTCCCCCCGGGAACGCCGTTCCCGCGCTCAGGCTGCCGCCGGGCAGAACTGCTGCGGGGACCGTTTTATCTTTTTTAGCCTTCTTCTCTGTAGCAAGCCCTTGGCGTTGTTGTGTTTGTTTTCTCCCCTCCGCCCTGTGCAGGCACATGTTTAAAAAAAACAGGCATGTTTGGGTAAATAAAGGGCCGTCAACTCATGGTGACTATTGGATTGCTGAGTGAAGAGTCGTAGGTGGGCATCCTTCGTATAGAACACCTCATGGAATTGGCTTCCATGATCCTAACCCATATATAACTCTACATAAACGTGAGACCTGTTCTCCTGAGAGACTTCTTGACAGCAACAATAAATGTAATTTAAGAATGGGAGGCGTGGTTTCCAGTTCCTTTGTGTTGAGGGGGCAGCTCCAGAGGTGCAGTCCTTCGGAACCTGTTGCTTTTCTAGGGGAATAAGCAGTTCGCCTTTCCCCACCAGATTAATGTCTAAATAAGGGAGTCACAGGATGTTAGCACCAGAAACAAGCTGAGTGCGTTCCATTCCAGCTCCCTTGTTTGTGCATGATGAAGCTATTAGAGGTGGCTCGCTGTCTTACACATTGATTACTCAGTCAGCTCAGAATCTGGGCCTCTTTGGTTTGGACGCCTCCTCTGAAAAATGAGTGGACCAGAGAGTAAAGATTATGCACCTGTTTGTCTATCAATTTGGTTACAAAGTAGCACTGGAAATCGGAGAACAGAACTAGGATGTAAAACTAAAACAAATACATTTATCCAAACTTATCTACCAGTCAGAAATTTCAACATCTCCCAAGCTGTTTTTTACCCCATCGATCACTTTCTAGAAATAGAAAAGGTCATTTTTTTTTTTTTTAAGGGTTTTCCCTAGCCCCCAGTCAGGGCCCGTGTGGGAGGCACATGTTTTTCTCACATTGATGTGTGTGTCTTCCCCTCCCTCCCTTCCACTCTCTTTGAAAGTTAATGAAAAGAATATCTTTGGCCGTAGCCTGTTTGGCTCAGTGGGTAGAGTGTCAGCTTGTGGAACAAAGTGTCCCAGGTTCAATTCCAGACAAGGGCATTTATCTCAGTTGCAGACTCCACCCAGGCCTTGGTCAGGGTGTGTACAGGATGCAACCAATCCATGTGTTTCTCTCACATTGAAATTTCTCTTTCACTCCCTCTAAAAAAAATCAATAGAAAAATATTCTTGGGTAAGGATTAAAAAATAAATACATTAAAAATTTCGAAAAAGAATATTGTCAGGTGAGGATTAAAAAAAAAGAAAAAAAAATGGGTTTAGATCACCTCAGAACACCCTGAGTTCTTCAAAGGAGGATCAATCATTCCTCAAACTACTGTCTATAAAAAAAATTTGACTCATTTGTTTTATCATCTCATGAAACATTGTTCCTTTGGGCATCAGTTTGGGAATTGCTGACTTATGAAAACTGCTTCTTTGTCTTGCTTCAGGAAACAGAACAAAAATTACTATCTATTTTGTAAGAAGTATCTTAACCTTTAAAAAAAAAAAAAAAAGAAAACGCTTTACAAGGTCCAGGACAAGTAGCTCAGTTGGTTAGAGCATCGTCCCAATACACCAAGGTTGTGGACTCAGTCCCTGGCCAAGGCACATACAGAAATCAACCCACGAATGCATAAATAAGTGGAGCAGCAAAATCACTGTTTCTCCAGAATCAAATTTTTAAAGAAGCTTAAAAGATTACTTCATTAGTCCAATAACATGCTTCTCCAAAGAAGTCCTATTTTCCAAGTCATTCATATCTGTGCTTTAAGTTCTCTCTGCCTCTCCGATTATGGTCTAAAACCAATCACATTTTTCTCTCAGGCAGATGACTACCTACCAAGCACAGCTGGAAGGTAGCCACCTGATTTGGTTTTTCTCTTCTGAAGTCATGCTTTCTGTTAACGCTTGTATAAATGAGTACTGGTACATATGCCGCCGTCAGTGAGCAGAGGATGCACTATGATCCCCTGGAGAAAGTCTGTCACTAGATGGTGCATGCCGAGGCCGACATCGCCACCGCCGCAGCGAGATGCTAATGCTAGCGAAGCGCCATGTAACTGCTGACCGGCGTGGCAGGGACATGATGCATCTGCACAGATAGACCAAAGGCAGCCTTGTTTCTGGACCAGTTGGGTCATTTGCGGTAGACACCTGAGTTGTACCCACTCAGTCCAGAGCGTTTTCTTTTCCCCACCCCACCTTTTAATTGCATTTATTGGGGTGACACTGGATAATAAAATGATATAGATTTCAGGTGTACCATTCTATTATACATCCTCTGTGTACTGTACTGTGTGTTCACCAGAGCACTTTCAAGCTTGCACAGACCCCAGCCACCCTCCCCACTGAGATCTCCTACTTGACAGCGGAAAGTGGAAACACAGTGTGCGGCGTCTCCGCTCCACAAGTCAGTCAGGCCCAGCTCTGTCATTTAGTAACTGGTGAAATAATACATTTCTAAGTACCTAGCATATAAATTGGCTGTCAATTGTGAGTTCTCTTTCCCAAGCTACTTTTCATTTCTAGATTTTACCTGGACAACTAGACCCCAAAACTGAAGGTAGCTTTTTAAAGCCTTAACATTGGAATTAAGACTTGAGAGTGTGCTCCTTCCCAGATCGCAGGGTATCTTCCCTGTTCGATTCCACCTTCCCCTGTGTCCTGGTTCTGCCCCTCTGCTCTGTCCTATGTTGGTCTATAGCAGTGGTCGGCAAACCGAGACTCACGAGCCACATGCCACTCTTTGGCCCCTTGAGTGTTCTAACGCCACTTCTTCAAAATAGACTCGCCCAGGCCGAAAACTGACTTCTGCACGTGGGCCACGAAGTTTCAGTCGCACTGTACGTGCATGCCCACACGTGGCATTTTGTGGAAGAGCCACACTCAAGGGGGCCAAAGAGCCGCATGTGGCTCGAGAGCCACGGTTTGCCGACCACTGGGCCTATAGGATTTTGAAAAAGAAAAAGCTGTGTACGTCACACAGGCGGTCTAGCTGCCTTGTCCAGGGCCTTGCTGGACATGCTGCAGAGCACTGGCACCTCAGTAAGATAAAGTCACATGGATGACAATGTGGACACACCTGGAATATTGCAAAATGTTGCAAGTGGTCTCGATTCCTAACACTCCCACAAATGTTTGGCGATTACACACACATGGTGCTGCTAGTTTGAAAGTTTAAATTTCAACTAAGGCCCTCACCAATTTCTCCGTATTTACCAGACAGTTTTACCAGCCTAGGGGAGTACCCCAGATAGAGTATATATAACCAATTCCCAGAAGGGTTACAAAGACTCAAAGATGAGTTAAGGAAAGGTGGGAAAACTGAGCGGAGGGGGGGGGGGGGGGGGGAAGAGGAGGGGGTTGGGGGCGGAGTAGAAAAGCAAAGGTCCGACTATAAGGGGGTGGTCAGGCTGGAGGCAAGTAATAAGGAACATTTTGATTTCTTGCACATGCATTCATATGCTCGGGGCTGGTGGTGCAGAGAGAAAAAACTGCCTCCCTGAAGCTGGCACTGCAGAGGGAGGAGACGATGGTAAATTATGTGGCTGCGTCCCGGTGCTGCCCTGCTCGGAGCCCTCTGAGTGTACCAGGATGGATGTGTCCATCCTCCAGCCGCCTCGTGAAGCAGGCCCTACTCTTACCCCCACTTGGCGAAGGGCCAAGGTCCCGGGGCAGGAGGTGGGCAGGCAGGGCAGTAACCCTGGCAGCTGGACCCTAAGGACCACTCTTGCCCACTAGTCTACTGACAAATAAGAGGGTTCTGGTTCCAGATGGTGGCGTAGGAGGATCCTGAACTCACCTCCTCCTAAGGTCACACCGAACCATGTCCTCCAAAAGAAAACTCAAAAACACAGCAGAACCATGTTCTCCAGAAGAAACTCAAAAACTAGGTGAGCGGCACACCTACACTGTGCAAAGGAGAAACCCACACGGAAACGGGAGAGGCTGGGACACGGGCACCATGACCCCCACGGTCACTCACAGACAGAGGAAACGCACAGCTCGGGCTGCTTCCTGAGAAATGAAGGGTTTGAGCCCACATCTGGCACCCCAGCTTGAAACACCTGCACCTGAGAGACAAGCCCCATGTCCTCTAGCTTTCTATGCCAACAGTGCTTGCAGCCATGAGACCCCGTTTTGATTTTTGTTTTGTTTTGTTTTTTTCAGTCTGACCACATTTTTAATTTGGAAGATAAAAAACGGTAAGACTATAGAAAATGAATCGTTTTTTCAAGATCTCTCTTAACGTTCAAATACACAACATAGTATTATTAATTATACAGTCACCATGCTGCACCTATAACTGGATATTTGTACACTTTGGCCACCGTCACCCATTTGGTTCACCCAAGAAGCAGTTTTTAAAGGGCTCACAGACTCACCTGGCTACCTACCAGCAGAGAGGCAGCCAACTGAAAAGCTTCCAGTCTTTCTGTGAAAGATGCCTATTGGCTTATCTTCACACTTTGGCATGAGGGCAGGCTCCTAATTTAACAGCCTCTGCTGAAATACTCTCCAAAGTCCACCGAGGCCAGGGGAGGCCTCTTCGCACTCTGCCCTGATCCAGTGGAGTATCTCCCAGAAAGGAGCCGGTGTACAGTGTCTGGAGCCCAGCATTTGTGGCTGTGCCAGACCCCTTGGTAGCCTGGCTCTGGTGGCCAGCAGGGCTTGTGTTCACAGAGCTTCTGTTCTTGTGATAACTGGACAGCAACAAGCAAAGAAACGGCTCTTAACTGGCTATTACCCCAGGGTTCAGTGCAGAGGAAGCAGGCAGACATGTCCACCTCCCAGTCTTCCCCTGACAGAGGAATATTCACATGCTTTTTTTTAAAAAAAAATCTGTATTGTTAAAAGTATTACATATGTTCCCTTTTTCTCCCATTAACCTC